TACCATGTCCTGCCATGATGTTCTGCCTCATCTTAGGCCCAGAGCTATGGAGTCAGCTGACCATGGACTTAATCTCTGAAATTGTGAGCCAAAATAAACTTTTCCTCCTCTTAATCATTCTTATGAGGTCTTTTGGTCACAGCAATGAAAAGTCATTTAAGATAAATGACTTCAAAAAATACGTAAGCATCAAAATATATCCTGGTTTAAAATATTGTCTTAGGAAATTTGTGTCTGTTTTCTTCTGATTGAAGCTCTGACGCCAATACTGGGTATTGGTTTTCTCTTCATGTATCCAACTGCTCTGTGAGCACTTCATGTATTCAGTCGAATGTGACTGTTCAAGAAAGTTCAACAAAAAGTTGTTACCAATAAAGGGGAGGAAAAAAAATCTACAAATCTTTGGTGAGCAGTTAAAGAATTTTTGGACTTCATTTGGACTCATATTGGAGAAATGAATACTTTGAAATGGGCGGGAAAGAACAAAATGAAGTTGAGTAAAATGAAGCTGTTCCCTACATCCATCTCACCCTCTGTTGACATTTACTAGGCATCCCCTATTCCCAGGCACCCGTGTAGTGCTTAGTTTCATTTCACAGAGCTTCTAGTCCTGAGAGGCATTTCTGAAGCTGCTAGGTATTGGCACCTGTACAGGGACACATGTTCTGGCAAATCAAATGTCTTCCTCTGGAGGCAGCAAGATCCTTTCCTCCTTTCTGGAGGAAAATAATCAACTGAGTTGGGTGATCTCATCCATGGCTTTAAAGAGCATTTAAATTTATAGGTAAACAAATCACATATTCTTATCTATTCTAAGCACTGAACTCATATATCCAACTGGCTGCTCATGACCTCCATTGGCTAATCTCAGACTGAACTGAATTCTCAAGTCCTCCCTGGCCTCATCCAGTCTTCCCTTTTCTCTGCAGATGGTGCCACCATCCACATGGCTGCCTGTTGGAAGCTTGGGAATTAGCCCTGATTTCCCCCTTTCCCTCACTACTCAGTGTGTTGCAAGTCCTGTGATTCCACCTCCAGACTAGATCTTAGGCATCACTATTCCTGCATCTGGCCACCACAATCTCTTGCCTGCATTAGTCCAACAGCCTCCCAACCAGCCTTCTGGATGCCACCATTCTCTTTCCTACAATCCTCCACACAGCAACCATAGTGATGGGTGAAAAAGTCAACCAGACCACATTATCACTTTGCTCAAACCCTTTGAGGATGCCTAGATGACTTGGAATGCAATCTCTACTCCTCAGCCTGGCCTGCAGGCCTCCAACACCCCTCCCCACTCACTTTCTCTTACTATTCTTAAGCCATACCAGTCTTCTTTCTGTTTCTTGTGTGTACTTGACTCTTCCCATCTCCTTCCTTCTGCCTGGAAAGCTCAGGGGACTGGCTATCCTTCATTTTAAGTTTCAGAAAGCTCTTCCCTGGCTCCATCTTTAATGTAGCTTCTTGCCTCTCGTGTTATTCTCCATTATGGCAGCTACTGATCACATTGTGTAGTTATTACACTTTCTTAGTTGGATCTTTGCCTCCCCCAGGCACTGTTAGATTGTATACTTCACACAGGGGCCGTCTCTTTCATCACCAGCACTCAGTACAGTGCCTGGCAGTTAGTAGGCATTACATAAATACTTGTTTAATCAATGGGATATTATATCATAGGAGGAGTGAAAGAAAAATAATCTTTCTTCTTACACTTAAAATCAATGGTTACGTAAGTCTGTCAGCCAGATCCCATTTTCTCTTGTCTCCTTTTCATGATTAATGCAAATAGGAGTAGAGGCCACATGCAGGGTGAAATAAAATAATTTTTTAAATAAAAGTAATGATCTCCTTGGATCTGTCAGCAGACAGGATGCACACATTCAAAAAAGTGTCTTCTTAGGCTAATTCCAGAAGCTTACAAATGGTCCTTGCAGGCATTCTGAGAGCACAGAGGGGAGATGGGAACATTCCAGTAGAATTTTAACTAGCACCCACTTGTAGAGGTCCTTCCAAACAGGACAGAATGAGGAGGGAAGCAAATTCTCCCCAAATGGCAAATGATAAATCCAAGGAAGGGCTAAACTTCCTCTCTAAAAAGTCAGTACCTCCCACAATTGAAGAAAAGAAAGAAATAAAAAAAAAATAGACAGTGTGGGTGGGGGTCCATAGGAGGAGTGAAAGAAAAATAATCTTTCCTCTTACATGGGGGAGGGGGAGGGGAAACTCAGTTTGGACCCCGGAACAGTGTACGACATACCTTACAGAATAAGATGAATTTTTAATCCAAGAGGAAAGGGGGCATCGGTTTTATCAGTTCTTTTTTTCCCCATCTCCTCTTATTGCTACTAGTAGATTGATTTTGTTTCTTATGCCCTGAGGCCTTTCCTGTTTCCTATAATTTGAACTTTCCCCAGTCCTCTCCCTACCCCTCTCCCTTTTGCTATTCTTGGTTCTTCCACAAACATCTTCCATCTCTGGCCACCTACTGGATGTATAGAAATATCCCTCAGTATCTCTTGTTCAGTGTACTTGGGGGTGCTAGTCTGTGTGTGATCAGGATTAACAGGATTTTCTGAACTCAGAGTCTTGAGCATGTTCTCATGCTGCCAATTCCTTATAATTTGGGATAGAAGCTGAAGGTTTTTCCAGGCTATTGAGAGGAGAATCAAGCACATGCAGTAATTTTTATGAGCAGCAGTGCCAGTTCTCAAGCACATTCTCAATTCTTGGAACTCTCACTTGTCCAACCCCCAAATTTGGTGTTCCTTTAGAAGTTGTAAATGTGGACGAGATTTGGATAAGTTGTAAACTTGGATAAGTCTAAGAAAACCGTGAAAGGCTTCTGCCTTCCTGCTTGAAATGCATACTAACAGGGTGGGTTTTTCTGTTTATTTATTGCACAAGTACTATGTTTGCCCTGCTTACTTGTGTTTTTTACATTTTTTTAAAAAATATCTTTATTTATTTTTAGTGGTACTGAGGATCCATCCCAGTGCCCCACACGTGTGAGACAAGCGCTTTACCACTGAGCTATAGCCCCAGCCCACTTCCTTGTGTTTTAATCCAGACTAGATAAAGAGAAATCAGAATGTCTGCTTCCTTTACAAAATGGTTACATATGATATTATAATGGTGGATACATCGTATTACGTATGTGTCAAGATCCATAGAATGTCCCATAGAGAATGAACTCCAATGTAAACTATAGACTTTAGTTAATGACAATGTGTCAGTTTTGACTCATCAACTCTAACAAGTTAATTGCACTAATGTCAGATGTTAATAACAGGAAACTGTCCAGGGGATGATACGGCAATTCTGTATTTTCTGTAAGCCTAAAACTGCTCTAAAAGGCAAAGTCTATTAGTTTAAAAATTACAAAATAGTTTATAATCCTTTTGGCTTTAAGATCTTTGGTGACATCAAACATTGTTTCTCTGAACTATTGTGAACTGCATGAAAAAGTACCGATGACAAAGCAGAAAGAGGTCATACTGGGGTGTTAAGGGAACAGTCTGGCTACCCCCAATCATGTTGGATGTGTTCCCCCTTCCCTGTCTCCTTGATTCAAAACCTGTGTAGTATGCAAAGCCCGGTTCAATGCAATCTGCCTCCTCAGAACTTCCAGCTCTCCACCTGGAAGTCATTTCTGTCAATCTTGAACCCTGGTAACAATACGCTTGAACTTTCCCAGGCTCCACATGCGGTACACAGGCCTCTCCTGTTTCTTTAGCTGCTGGAAGATATTTGGGTTGCTCTCCCTGATTAGCATGATCCACCCCAGTATCCTCTTTGTTACGGGCCCCTGGGACCATTACAACAGTACCTGAGGTTTTCCTTTCTGGTGAAGCTGTTCTTGCCTGTCTCAAGACTTAGTGTTTTTGTCTTGTTTAATATTCTGATTCAATCTTGCTTGGCCATGTTCTACCTAGTTAAGGACCTTGCCAAAGAGCCCTGCAAACGTAACTTAGTGCTTGTGTGGACCTTGATCTTTCCACTCAAATTGACCTTTCTGAGTGATACTTGCTCGAAAAGATCATATAGTCAAATGTTCAACTTTCAAGAACCCAACCACTTAAGCTGTTTTCCATCCCCACACAGCGGGAACCCAAACAACACTTGCTTCCTTACACAATAAATCTTGTGTGCAGCAAAAGGGGTGTTTCCTATTAAGGGCAGCCTTTCAGACCTGGTCATTCATTGTCCCTTGGAGGAGAATGAGCCTGTGTGTTTGGGCTGGAGGTGGCAGTTGGGGAGTTGATGGGGTTAGTTCAGAAAAAGGATGAGAACCTGAGACCTGCGGGGAGAACAGGGTACTCAGGATTGCCACAAGAAACAAAATAGGAAATGTGTCTGCATTGGTACCATCCCCTCTGTATTGACATGAACTTTGCAATCACTGATCAGCAAACCAATTTAAACTTCCCATCAAGTTCTTGTTGGGGTGAAGCTGAGTTCACCCCGACTCTGCCATCCTCACAACGCAGGCGTGCGGGATGCCCCTGCTTCAGCGCCCAGTGTGCTTTCTAAGGGACCAAGCTGACCCCCAGGCAGCTTTGGGGTCCCTTGCTTTTTGGGGCTGATGGAGAGGTGCTCGTCTTTCTGATGGAGAGAGCTTTCTTCCCGTTGCCTTCATCACCCTGGCAGCTGGGCAGTTGCCACTTTGAGACACGGCCTGGGTTAGGGGCTGTAGCTCCTGGTGGCAGGACATGAACCCCAGTCCGGCCACAAGAGCCTCCTGCCCCAGTGTGCAGCAGGGTCCTAAGTGCTGGCTTCCTCCAGCACCTTTCTTCCCTGTAGAGCTGGCTCTGGGCTGCCATCTTGACCCCTGTTTTTTTTAAAAATTCATGATACAGGAGGGAGGGTAATTAGGAGGAAATCCTGAGAAAGAGCCTTCGAAGTACTGGGGAAAAAAAAAACAAAAAAACAAAAATGCTGACGGGGGCAGTTCATGGAAAGCACAATTTGGCCTGACAGTGACCTCCCACTCCAGGCTTTGACTCCGGGTGGGGACAGATGGTGAAGGTAAGGGCAGTGTGCGACCTGATCATCCGCACGGCCAGCAGGATCAGCAGGAGCAGAGACCCCAGCGAGGCCCACCTTAAAACAAAGGTGAACTTTAGGGTGGGAGAGTAAAAGGATCAAGCTTTATGAATCGGAAGCCAGGATGTCTGTGAATGCTATGAGTCAGTCTTTTATTTTAAATTCAGTGCCAAGAGGGCGGGAGTGGACTCTATCAGTTTCAAATCTCAAGAACACTGGGGACAGCCAGGTCATCAGAAAGGGCACCTTTCTGAGGCCTGAGCTCAGCAGTCGGATAGGAACTGTGGAATGCAGAGCTCCCCCCAATATCTCTAGCTCATTAATCTTCATTTAAAAGTAGACAGTTAAGCTGTTTGGATATTATTTTGGGAGTGTCTCCTTAGCCCCCCTCCCCCAATTTATTATTAATGGCAAATGTTTTAGGGCTGCATTTTCCTGGGTTTCAAACACATGCTGTTTCCTGAAAATTTAAAAAAAAAAACAACAACAAAAAACAAAAAAACCAAAAACATCCCCCTTCTGTTCCCCACAGGTCCACGGGAGTGACAAATCCCACTGTCTTGTTTCCAAGATGCTTAACTGTGTTATAGTAAATGTCAATAGTGAATTAACCATCCCTTCGAACGTTTCAAGTATGACTTTTAATTAAGTGTATTAACCTGATGTATCACCATTTGAGCAGCAACTAAAATAAGATTATATGCATTTTAAACTTTTGGATGCCCGCGGAACATGAAAAGCACTTTATGAAGCTTGCATTAATGCATATTTCATTACAATGTGATTCTATATTACATATTCCACTTATGCGTGGATCCAAAATAGTTTCTGCTCTCGGTAACGATGCCAATTTAAATAAGTAAATCACAAGGAATCGAGAAAACTTAACTCTTCATGAATCTCAGCATTGTCGTGGCTTAGAAAAGAATTGGTTTGGGCCAGAATCTTACCTGTAGTAAAGAGAGTGTAGCATCTGTGTTTCAGATAGGATGGAGTGAGGAGAAAAAACAAAAGGATGCAACATTTTCTCTGCACATCAGTTACAAATTAGGGATAATCCTGGCCGATTTTCCTTTACTCCTCACATAGCAGATGATTGGCTTTGCCACAGTGAAGAGGCAGTAAGGCTGAATGGCACAGGAGAGGGTGATGTGGGGCTGGTGGGTCGTCCTGACACTTGGGTAAGAACAGCTGTAACATCATCGCATAAAGAAACCCTGGGAGCTAGATGCCTTGCTCTGCAGGGCTGCCTTAAAGCATCCTGTGCAATATTACTAATAGACCTTTTACAGTTTTTATAGCTTCCCGAGTTATTTTTGAGTCACTGCTAGCATTCAATAATTTCCTGTTGAATAAGGAACAAAACAGGCCTAAAGACTGAAAGGAAAAGATGCTGTGGGGAGCAGGCTCTCCAGATGGATGCGTTCTGGCAGATTGTGATTTGTGACTCAGAATGAGCCCAGATTATTGTGCCATATGGGTGGCAGCAGAGCCTGGAGACACGGCTTCAGTCACTCAGCAGATTTCTCCCGCACTCCTACTATGTGTTGGTTTCTTGCTTGACCACTGGGAAACAAGGACGCGTGTGTGATTGCATCTGCAGCCAAGGAATCCATTCGTTTGTTCATTCAGTCATTCGCCAACCGGTGCAGAGCGTCAATGATGTGCATTGTGTATTGGAGGGTTGAGCATGTAAACATAGAGTAAATTGCCATCTGGTGTGATAAAATCAGTTATAAAGACAGGGGAAAAGTACATTGCAGCTTAGATGTGGAAAAGAGAGACTAATTATATCTGGGCAGTCAGAAATCATCACAGAAAGAGTGACATTCAATCTAAATCTTAAAGTTAGATTAGGAAGGAGATGATCAGGAGGAAAAAAGAGCAAGTCCATTCCGGGCAAAGGGAACGGCATGAGCAAAGCCATGAAGTTCAAGTTTCACACTTGGGAGGAAAACTGAGAAAATCTGAAGTTGGTTGTGGATGTAGCTTTTGACTCATAGGCAGTTAATACGGCTAGAGAAATAACCTGTGCAGGATCTTCTGTGTCATGTTAGAGCTTTGGCTTTATTCTATAGGCTGGGAATGGAAAATCCCAGAGCTCCCGTCTTCCTGTCCGTGTGGCAGATGTCCCCAATCTGGCATGAAATTGTGTGCTTTCCTGCCAAGCCCAGGCTAACTCTTGGAATTCTCTACCCACACAGGGTCTTAAGAAGCCTTAACTGACTTACCAGAGTTGGCACATAGGAAAAGTCGATGTGCCATCTTTGCTCCAGGCAAAAAAAGCTGAGGTCTTTAAATAGGCAGTGACAAGGTCAGATTTGATCATTGGGGAAACTATTTGAACCCGTACCTAGAGAATGAACTGGAGTAGGGAGAACCATGAATCAGGAAAACAAGTAGGATATTGTTTAAGAGTTTAAGTCATTAGTTCTCAGGATGGGTGCACACCAAAACTACCTGGGGTGCTGGCTAAAAAGTACCTGTTATACTTAAGCTCCAACCCAGACCAATTATCCAGAATTAAAACAAAATAAAGCCAAAACAAAGTGATTTCTCATGTGCTCAAGGGGTGAGATCCATTTGCTGGGCATCTGATTAGGAAAACATTTATTCCTTTACTAAACAGGTTTTATTGCCTTTGAGATGAACCTGGAGAGGACAATGACCTGGGGAAGATGGGAGGGGACTTGCTATTATTAAGCCTGAGTCTTGTAGTACTACTAGCCACGTCTGCCTGCTTGACAGCCACCCATGCGTTTGCTGAATTATCTAGAGATAAATCATTTCATTTCATCTCCACATTAACTCTCTGAATTACAGATGAGGAAACCAAGTTCCAGAGACCTTAAGTAACTTGCTTAAGGTCAGAGGGCACCTGACGCCAATTACAACGGTCCATACACCCGCCTGATGGGAAGCCTGATGGGAAACGGAGTGTTCTTTTCAGGGTTAGGACTTTCATTAGGACCAGTACTCTTGCTTTGTGTTCTCCCAGGTACATGTCACACCATAGCCCTAACTAGGTCTGTTTTCTTGGTTGTGATTCCTGTATGCAGTACAAAGAAACCTTGCAAACCCAGAGACACATGGGCTCACCTTAAAATCCTTTCACAAATGCCTATGAAATTTGGATATGTTTCCCCAGTTGTTATTTAGCCACCAAATCAAGCTTCATGGCTTCCTAATTATCCAGCTTATTTCAGAAGTAGCAAACAGGAATTGGTAGGGGCAGAATTATTCACATTAAACACTAGGTTCTTACTACGTTTGAAATTTCTAGAATCGCTCTACACAACAGAGGCAGCTATAATAGCTGGTACCTATGCTGTGTATTTAGCTGGGCAACCTGGATCTCATCTATAATAAGCCAGCAGGCTGTTCCCGACCTGACTATGAAGGCTGGGCTTTAGGAAGGGCATGCTTCTACAGTTTAGGGAGCCTCATGGAGGCCAGAAGTGGAATGTAAAACAGAATTCCTAGTTCTGCATCTAATGCTTCAATGATCAGATTGCACTAATTCCTAGCAATGCAACCAGGGAAGGGTATTTTATTTGTTCCTGTTTACTCTCTTGGCAAAATCTTATCCATTCTGTTAATAGATGCTTGTCTTTTAAATTTTTTTTTTTTACTCATTATTGGAAAGAAAACCTAGAATTTTGGATTTCCATGCGTTCTTTCCAGGATGCCTCAGTGGGTGAGGGGGACCTCAGTGGATTTCTGGGTGAAGAGAAGCAAGTTTAACTTTAGGGTCTAGGATTTCCATCCCCTCTTCAAATGAGCAGTTTTGCTTTTATTTGTTTTATATTTGAAAAAAGAATCTGGTACAGTGGTGTGAAGAGCATCACTCTAGACATGAGAAATCTCTGGGTAAAATATTCACATATGTCAATCAATTGAACTTCTTGTTAGTTTAATTATCTGGAAATTCAATTGGATCTTGTACATGTCTTGAAGAAGTGGCATGAACACAGAAGATTTGTCAGAAATCCCATGAACTTGTCTCTCAGGAGAGGTCTGGGTCCATCTGCAGGCCATGGCCAGTGGATTTAAAATGGGATTAAAGATTTAATAATCCTGGTCTCCAGATTTCAAGAAGCTGCATATATTAGCAAAGGGCTGTTGAAAGGTGACATACTGACAAGTAACAGATGCCCCAGGGAGAAGTGGGTTCAGACTACTGCACTGGAGGGACTTTCTCACAGTGAGCACGAGTGTGGATTCTAGAGTTGGACAGATTTTGGTTCATGACCCAATTTCCCCTTTACTTGCTTCATGACTTTGAGTCTCAGTCTTCTCTTCTATATAATGGCCAGAGTAGCAATACCTACCTCAAAATGTTACTGTGTGGATTAAATAGAATCATCTTTTAAGGACTTAAATAAAAGGCTCAGTAATAATAGCTGATTTGAATTGACCTAAGTCTTTTTTTTTTTTTTGGTAGAAATCAAAACTTCTCAAAGGGCATAAGAACATTATAACTAACTAATTCACAATAACAATTCAAATCAAAAAGATCTGTCAAGCTGTGGATAATAACAGAAAACTATATATATTGGAAAAATTTGCAATAAATTCATGTTTAAGCTAAAAACAAGCATTCAGGAAGAAGGCAAACATTCTTGCTACTTTCATTCATGCTAGTAATGAAAATTCCAGCCAGATCAGCCAAGTAACAAAAGAACTAAAAAGTACCCATATTGAAAAGGAAGAAGCAAAATTATTTCTGTTTATAGATGACATGATCTTATGTGTGGAAAATCCTGAAATCCCACAAAAAATGATAAGAACTAAGGAATTCAGTATAGTTGTAGCATACAAAACCATTACACAAAAATCTTTTCTATACACTAACAAAGACCAAGCCAGAAGGGAAATTAAGAAATCAACCCTTGCTTATAGCACTGTCAAAAAGAATAAAATAATTAGGAATAAATTTAAGGTGATGAAAAATTTGTACACTAAAATCTATAAAATATTGATGAGAGAAATTGAAATAGAAGCAAATAAGTGGAAAGATATCCTGTGTTTGTGATTGAAATTGGTATTATGAAAATATCTGTACTATA